AATATTATTTATCTGCATATTTTACTAAATGCATATAAATAATAGATTTTTATCTGTAAATCAAAATATAGTAATTTCAATTTTGTTTAATTTTGAATCCTGCTTTCCTAAGCTTGAGAAACATTTATTTGCTCTCAAAAAATTTTGTATAAATGAAAATATATTTTAAGCTGTATATCTTGATGTAATGTACCTTTCTGAATATAAACTGTGTGTAAAAATTTTAAAATTATTAAAATGGGAGTTCAATTCTTAGGTATCAAAGGTAATATATTTGAAAGCAATGTAATATAAGTGTTAGGTGTATTTTTCTCGTTAACAGTTATCATATTAAATTCTGGTTTATAAAAAAATTTTTTGAATTTACTGTGAACACCCTGTTTAAAATTAATTTTGAAATTTTGATATAATAATAATTTTTTCAATAATTTATTCTGTTACCATTTTTTATTACATTTTTTTCTTTTTTTAATTTGGACAGAATTGCAAAACTAAATTTTAAAAGTTTTATTTATGTGATGATACTGAATAGATTAAATGAAGAAATAGTTTGTGTGTGAAAATAAATTACAAAATGATTATATTAACTTAAAATTTATTGCAAATTAATTTTTTATTACACAGTCATTAATTAAGTTTTATGTATATTTGAAATGAGCTATTGATTTCTTACAATTAGAAGCATTTAACTATAATTAAATGATTTTACCTACATGAATGAGTAGATTAAACTAAAATGAACTTTTTTCAAATTTAATAATTTGAAATTTTGTAATGTTTTGAATCTTTCCTGTTTTACATATAAATTAATATATATTTGTGTGTGTATGTATGTGTAGTGTGTAGTAATTTCTAATACAGAGAAACCTGCTAAGGTGACCACGTATGTTTCCATTTTGAGCTAGTCCCTTAAGTGGTGATATTAGCAGGTTTCACTGCAAGAAAAAAATAGGTAATTCAATTTAATGAAAATTATTCAGTGAGATACAATATATTGTGCAAAATTTCATTGTATAATCACAGAAATTTATACAGTATAACCTTGAAGTAAAGTTCAAATCATGATGCCCGGTTTCCAGTTCGTCAAAAAGAATACCTTATGACTCCTTGAACTCAGTTTAAGTCTGTTTATTTGATGACTGTTTACAATATATACAGAGCAATACTTTTTCCTTGCTTCTAACATCACAGTCTTGGGCTAGACTTGTTTATCGTTGTTCCAATGGCTGCATTGCCTTATATCTACGTTTTAGATCCGTTGGCCAACCAATCAGGAGCTGAGCTGAGCTTTCGATCAGGTCCGCCCTAGTTGGTACATCTTTCTTGACTTGTCATTACTCAATAGGACTCTTTGACACCTGATAATCTGAGGCAATGTGGACAGAGGATTCCTCTGATAAAACAGACAGCTATAATCATTTTGGAATAATCAGTTGTCTTTTATAGCTGTTCTTCCTTTCATTGCATCTTAGCATCATTTTTTATGGGCAGTCTGTCCGAGATTTATCTGGATCCTCCCTTGCCACCCAGCCGTTCTCATTGTGGATTTGCCCACATTTCTTGCAATGAGTTTGGGGAAAAAAGACTTTCCTATACTCCTTAGGGCATAGGGAGTTTAAAAAATGTCGTTTTTGGTGTAGTCAAAGTTAAAAGTAATACAGTATTTATGCATTCAGTGAATTCACAGCAAAACTTTTATAAATTGTAAGTAAAGTAGTGAGTTCACTTAGAATTGCCTCAGATAATTGGGATTATACTATTAAATACTTATCAAGTAATTTTTTAGGTATTTAATTTGTTTAATTATTAATATTGCAATAATATTTCTATAAATAACTTGTATTTTAAAAATTTTAACTATACTTACTGTTTTAAAAGCTATATGTGTCTGTCTGAATACTATACAGTAAAACCTGTCCAAAATGGAACCTTAATAAAACAGAAACCTCCCAAACTGGAAAAATACTCTGCATTGTATGAGTCTGGTTTACACAGGTTTTATTGTAGTTTTTTTGTACAAGAATTGTTTTAAATATAAATAGAATTTAGTAAGTTTAAATTACATCTTTATTTATTTCATAGAATTCATCTAGAATCGCAATTTCTATTCATGATATATTGTTCAATCAGCTTAATGATTTTGATGAAATTAAGAGAGAAGAAATATTGTCTTTTGCAAATACGCTTGAGAAATGTAAATTGAAAATTCCTAGTAGGCATGAAGAAGAAAAGCTTATTGAAAATGTATTGTTACTTTTTTATTCATAATTTTATATATTTTTGTTATTTTATCATGTAAATAATTAAAACAGTTTATTTATTATTATAGACTAAAAAATCTCTGACAGAAGAATATAATCAAGCATACAAAAAATGGTTGGCATCAAAACAAGAATATGAGAAACAGTGAGTTTTATTTTTTTATTACAAAATATTTATAAGGTGATGCCATTTAGGCATGATAAGCTTCCCCAAACAAATAACAAAGAAGCTCTAAGACAAAAACAAATAAAAGAGACTGAAATATTACATGAAAACAGTTAAAATGCATCTAAATATGTAAAAGTCATGGTGAAACAAGTCCTCAATAGATATCTAAAAGGCAGTCATTAAAATCCGACACTGCTTTACTGACTGTTTATCCGAGATAAAACTATTTTAAAAGAGATAAAGAATAACCAAATTAAAACTAATTTACTAAAACTCTTCAATGTTTTTATTGTGATGAATGTATTTCCTCATCAGTATCACATATTTCATCTTTTTGACAGTCACTAGAACATTAAAATTTACATGTAATATACATCTTATATGATTAACACATCAGTGTTGTGGCGTTACAAGCAATGATTTGTAAAAATATGTGATTTACATGATTTAAATAGTCTGTTAAAAAGCTGTGTTTGAAATTTATAGTATTCGATTTTTGCCTGAGAATGACAGCTGTAAGCTGTTGAAAGTACTTGTGAATTTTTACAAGTCACCGCTTGTAATGCCGCAACACCGATGTGTTAATCATATATTACTGTACATTGGCATAAAGTGTAATTTTATTTATTTTTAATATACGTCTTACTTGATATAATACTATTTACAGATCTTTAACTGTATTAAATTTCTTATTTTTTTTTGTCAATGCCATTTACAATTATATGCCACTCTAGTGAAACTATTATACCTGTTTTGAGTTTATTACATTTACCATTCAGAAAAAATATAAATGTAATAAACTGTATTTTGACACGGGTCACACAGGAGAAAAAAGAAAGGGGGGAAAAAAATGTGAGTAAATCATAATTCATATATGATTATAAATTAACATAAGTATACTTAATTTGACTTCTGTCATTGATGTGAACATAAAATATCTGAAATATTTGGTTGAATATTAGTCACTGCCAGTTTTAAATTAGTTTTAATGTGATTCTGTTAGCCAATTTCTTGTTTTACTTTTTACTAAATTTTTAGTAAGTTGTAGAAAATAACAATAGAATTTTGCTGCATGCTTCCTTAAGTTGGGAAATTGATATATTTATTTATATTTTGTGTGATGTGGGCTGCACAAAATAGTGCAGGCCACATCACATGCAGTCCAGAGGTCACAGGTTGCCTACCCCTACTCTAGATTAACAAAAGACCAACAGATGGATGACAGTGGGAATGTATAAGTCTGAAATCTGAAAATTGCAGCCCAAAAGACATATAAAATAATATTTCATATGGCAATACTTAAAGTATATAGTATTAAATATATTAAATACATAAAACTATTATTATAAACTTTCTATAAATTAAAACTATATATATTTAATAAATAAATTACATTATAACTGTTAATTAAGAATATGCTTTGAAATTTAGTTTCTAGAAGAGAATAATTTGTGCTTTATAATTTAAATAAATTATATTTTAAAGAACAGCCACAATAATAGTAATTTGCATAATTTTTTGTAGGGTTTTGCATCGTTTAGACTTCTTGGTGAAACAAGTTTCAGAAAATGCAATGGATGCAACGCAAATAATTGTGAATGCCCAGAATATCGAGAGGAAAAAATTCATAACTAAAATTAAAGATTCTCTTACCCAAAAGTTATTGGCACAACACAAATGGTCTTCTTTAATAGAACAATTGTCTCATGAAAGGTAAATCTGTCAGTAGTAGAAAAAGTATTCTTCATTTATACAAAATATGATTAATTTCAAAGTATTTTGTTAGGGCTGCTTGGCATTTTAGGCAGTCATATCCACAAAACTGGGAACTCGATCCAACAGAAGGACCATTAAGAATAAGGCGGAGGTTAAGAAGGTTTCATTTAAATATAAAAGCTCGTTTTCTTCTACCTGAATACAGGCAAAAATTAGGTTATAACACTCTAAAGAATGATGATTATTTTTATTAAATTACAATGCTTAAAAGTTTTTGTAATTTAATCAATTAATTTGCAGATTGTAGACAGTTAAATCCTCCTTTAAGTTATTTGCATCAATCAAAATATGAGGCAAATGAATCTAATATTCTAAAAGATAAAGTTCATGCTGATGAACAGATATGGTTAGTTGAGACATTAGTTGTAATTTGTCTAATAATTATTTTTAATTAAATTTTTTTTTTATTTCTAATAGTTATAATTGCTGCTGTTACCTTGTGACTCCATCTAAAGAAACTTTGGGAGAAATTCTGATAGGTTAATATTGTTTGTAATTTTCCCAAAATTTATAATTAAAATATTTCTTAACATAAATTCCACTTACAGGGGAAAAAAGTGTATATTTTGTTGCAGAAAATTTTTTATTTCAGGTATTTATACATGTTTAATAAAAACTTAGAATTTTTTTTATGAAAATTAATTAAATTTATAAAGTACTATTTTATTTGAAGAGTGTAGATGCTGATATATTATGTTTAGCGTGGTTAATTAAGGATATCACAGAAATTTTGCCAAGACGTTACGAATTACAGGACAGTGCATTGGAAATTTTTTTAACAAGCGGCATAACGTATCTTATAGCATTCAAATCAGTTAACGTAAGAAAGTTTTTCAAAGTTTAATTAAGTTTTAATAACAGAAATAATAATGCAAGTAGCAAATGGCTTCAAAAATTCCTGAATTAAATTTAATTATGGACTATACTTTTGTTAAATATTTAGCAACATTTATGTCAAAATAGTTCACTTCAATAGTGTTACACTTTTACTGACAAAAATTTAGATTACTTGGAAACATTCCTGGAAGCAGTTTTTTTTTCTACTTTCCAAAGCACAGCTATTGAAGTTCTTTTTATTGGATCTAAAGTTTGAGAAAAATATTTAATCAAAATAAATGTTCAATTCCTTCACACTAAGAAAATTTGTATGTGTTGTCAGTATAATTCCAAAAACCTTTTGTATTTATTGTAATTGTTTAAATAAATAGGACAGTTATTTAATTCAGGAATATACTTATAAAATGTACGAACTGGATAACTAAATATTATAAAAATTGATTTTTGAGTTAACTGAAGAAGATCGGTTAAAATGGTCAAAAACATTTTTAATTTAGTAAATTTTATTTGCTGGATTGTTAAAGGTGTGTTCTTATTTTTATAATATTAATTCAGGAACATTTTCAGTCAATTAATAAACCACATCCTTGAAGCAAGTAAAGTTAATGCACATATTAAACTGAAATTGTTTTTAAATTTCAGTTTAATATTTTTCCATTTGGTACAGTCTAGAAAATTATTTTTTCTAGTCTGTACCATTTCTTTTAGAATTTACTAAAGTATATTTGTTGCTCAATAAATGGTAGTTCACATTTTGTTTTTATATGTAGGGTTTTCCAAAAAGAATACTACTATTTTTAAATTATTGTAATTTTGTTAATTATGAGGGCTGTTCGAAAAGTTCGCGGCCTTGCCTATATGCGGCACTGTGATCAATTTAACTTTTGGCTGGAATAATTCAGCCATCCTTGCTAAAGATACGATACCAATTTCCGCTTGATTTGTCATAAAGTTTTGCCACGACAGCTTAGCGGATAGTTAATGTGCACATGCTTTGTCAAAAATGGAGAAGACGGAGACTCGTGCAGTCATAAAATACCTGACGAAAAAAGGGTTGACCGCATCTCAAACCAAAGCTGACATGGATGAAGTTTTGGGAGAGTCCGCTCCTTCGTAAACCACTGTGAAAAAATGGACAGCCCTTTTTAAATCTGGCAGAGAGAGTGTGAAACATGACCATTGCAGCATACGGCCGTCAACTGCTGTCACTGAAAAAAATATTGACAAAGTTTACGATTTGGTGTTAGCAGATCGCCGTTTGAAAATGCTTAAGATAGCTGAGACAACAGGCATCTCTGTCGACCGAGTGCACCACATTTAACCAAAAATTTGGGTATGACGAAGGTCTCAGCAAGTTGGGTGCTGCATCTGCTGACCGCTGAGCAAAGACATGTTCGCACTTTCATGTCAAAGAAGTGTTTGGACTTCTACAAGAAAAACCCACGGGATTTCTTGCGTCGGTTTGTGACTACTGATGAAACATGGATCCATTACTACACTCCTGAAACAAAAGAACAGTCGAAGCAATGGAAACACCCCCAGTTCGCCACCACCAAAGAAGGCAAAAACAGTTCCATCAGCGGGGAAAGTGATGGCCTTGGTTTTTTGGGGATGCTAAAGGAATCATCTTTATTGATTACCTAGAAAGAGGAAAGACCATCAATGCTGTCTATTACTGTATACTTTTGGAAAAACTGAAGAAAGAAATCGAAGAGGCCACACTTGAAGAAGAAGGTTCTGTTTCACCACGATAATGCCAGGATCACTGAACAAAAAATAAACGAACTTAGCTTCCAATTAGTTCCACATTCACCGTACTCACCTGATTTGGCCCCCAGTGACTTCCACCTTTTTCCAAATTTAAAATAATTCTTGGTTGGGAAGAGATTCCACTCAAATGACAAAGTCATCTCTGAAGTAAACGAATATTTTGCACACCTTGACAAAATTGACCTATTGTAATGGCATAAAAAAGCTAGAACATCGCTGAAATAAGTGCATTGCTAACAAAGGAGACTACAATGAAAAATAAAAAAAGTTTTAGCATTATTTTGTTTGTTGTTCTATTTGAGACCACGAACTTTCCGAACAGCCCTCGTATTATCCAAAGACATTATAATGTATATTAAATTAAAACATTGGAAAACTGCCCAAGTTTTTGCCCAATACAATTTCTCAATGTGTGCACCTCATCACACAGCATACCAACCCATACTGAAATTCTTTCTACACTCATTACAGCACATCTGTTGTCACTTCTCCCACAATAACAATTTTACAGCTCCTGCAAATCCACAGCTGTTTTATGCAGTTCCTGCAGATTACTCATATTGTGCAATGATGAGTGATTCCGACTTTGCAAACTTCAGAATATGAAATGCTTTCTACTGTATATTGCAGAGTCATTTTCATTTATTGTGTTTCTTATAGGTAGTAGACAACAAGATGTTTGAATACAGATGGTTGATGATACTCGGACATTTACTCTATTGATTGGTGTACATTGCCTGCTTCTCACAATCAGATAATAATTAACATAATTACAATAATTTAAAATAAATGACACTGTGTATCTTTTTAACTCTTAATGTAGTCTTATCATACTTGTGACAGCTCCTTAATTGGACCAAAATATTGTAGTCTTGACAAATCCCAATTAATCAGAATCTTTTGTATTAACTTATCATAAAATTTAGTAGAATTGTCATTTAAAAAGAATTACTGTTATAGCTTACATGTTATTTACAATAAGATTTCTTTGATATGGTAAAATTATGTGTTATTACAGATCAGGGAAGAATTCTACTTGCATATCAAAAAATGTCAGCATTTTACACCACATACTGTAACATCATTATCAACTCTAACGAATCAATGGAGAATGCATTCTCTTACAAATTTTGAATATCTTATGCAACTGAACAAACTTGCAGGAAGGTCTTGTAATGATTTAATGCAATATCCCGTGTTTCCTTTTATCATAGCTAATTATTCTAGTTCCGACCTCAATCTCGAAGATCCAAGTATCTTCAGGTAATTATTATTAAATTTAACACTTGCATCAAAATGGATTTAATTAGTTTTGTTTTTTTTTTTTTAATTAGAAATTTATCTAGACCTGTCGCAATTCAAAATAAGGCCAGAGAACAACACTATATAAATGCGTATAATGTAAGTATGCATAAATATACATATGTAAATTGTTTATTTACTATTTCATATTAAATTTATGATGAATAGCTTATTATTAGTTTTTTATAAATACACATAGCGTATGAGATTAATACATTTTAGACATTTTTATACTTAATATGCCATTCTTAAACAAGTTTAATGTATTGAATTTGTATNATTTAGTTTCTAGAAGAGAATAATTTGTGCTTTATAATTTAAATAAATTATATTTTAAAGAACAGCCACAATAATAGTAATTTGCATAATTTTTTGTAGGGTTTTGCATCGTTTAGACTTCTTGGTGAAACAAGTTTCAGAAAATGCAATGGATGCAACGCAAATAATTGTGAATGCCCAGAATATCGAGAGGAAAAAATTCATAACTAAAATTAAAGATTCTCTTACCCAAAAGTTATTGGCACAACACAAATGGTCTTCTTTAATAGAACAATTGTCTCATGAAAGGTAAATCTGTCAGTAGTAGAAAAAGTATTCTTCATTTATACAAAATATGATTAATTTCAAAGTATTTTGTTAGGGCTGCTTGGCATTTTAGGCAGTCATATCCACAAAACTGGGAACTCGATCCAACAGAAGGACCATTAAGAATAAGGCGGAGGTTAAGAAGGTTTCATTTAAATATAAAAGCTCGTTTTCTTCTACCTGAATACAGACAAAAATTAGGTTATAACACTCTAAAGAATGATGATTATTTTTATTAAATTACAATGCTTAAAAGTTTTTGTAATTTAATCAATTAATTTGCAGATTGTAGACAGTTAAATCCTCCTTTAAGTTATTTGCATCAATCAAAATATGAGGCAAATGAATCTAATATTCTAAAAGATAAAGTTCATGCTGATGAACAGATATGGTTAGTTGAGACATTAGTTGTAATTTGTCTAATAATTATTTTTAATTAAATTTTTTTTTATTTCTAATAGTTATAATTGCTGCTGTTACCTTGTGACTCCATCTAAAGAAACTTTGGGAGAAATTCTGATAGGTTAATATTGTTTGTAATTTTCCCAAAATTTATAATTAAAATATTTCTTAACATAAATTCCACTTACAGGGGAAAAAAGTGTATATTTTGTTGCAGAAAATTTTTTATTTCAGGTATTTATACATGTTTAATAAAAACTTAGAATTTTTTTTATGAAAATTAATTAAATTTATAAAGTACTATTTTATTTGAAGAGTGTAGATGCTGATATATTATGTTTAGCGTGGTTAATTAAGGATATCACAGAAATTTTGCCAAGACGTTACGAATTACAGGACAGTGCATTGGAAATTTTTTTAACAAGCGGCATAACGTATCTTATAGCATTCAAATCAGTTAACGTAAGAAAGTTTTTCAAAGTTTAATTAAGTTTTAATAACAGAAATAATAATGCAAGTAGCAAATGGCTTCAAAAATTCCTGAATTAAATTTAATTATGGACTATACTTTTGTTAAATATTTAGCAACATTTATGTCAAAATAGTTCACTTCAATAGTGTTACACTTTTACTGACAAAAATTTAGATTACTTGGAAACATTCCTGGAAGCAGTTTTTTTTTTCTACTTTCCAAAGCACAGTTATTGAAGTTCTTTTTATTGGATCTAAAGTTTGAGAAAAATATTTAATCAAAATAAATATTCAATTCCTTCACACTAAGAAAATTTGTATGTGTTGTCAGTATAATTCCAAAAACCTTTTGTATTTATTGTAATTGTTTAAATAAATAGGACAGTTATTTAATTCAGGAATATACTTATAAAATGTACGAACTGGATAACTAAATATTATAAAAATTGATTTTTGAGTTAACTGAAGAAGATCGGTTAAAATGGTCAAAAACATTTTTAATTTAGTAAATTTTATTTGCTGGATTGTTAAAGGTGTGTTCTTATTTTTATAATATTAATTCAGGAACATTTTCAGTCAATTAATAAACCACATCCTTGAAGCAAGTAAAGTTAATGCACATATTAAACTGAAATTGTTTTTAAATTTCAGTTTAATATTTTTCCATTTGGTACAGTCTAGAAAATTATTTTTTCTAGTCTGTACCATTTCTTTTAGAATTTACTAAAGTATATTTGTTGCTCAATAAATGGTAGTTCACATTTTGTTTTTATATGTAGGGTTTTCCAAAAAGAATACTACTATTTTTAAATTATTGTAATTTTGTTAATTATGAGGGCTGTTCGAAAAGTTCGCGGCCTTGCCTATATGCGGCACTGTGATCAATTTAACTTTTGGCTGGAATAATTCAGCCATCCTTGCTAAAGATACGATACCAATTTCCGCTTGATTTGTCATAAAGTTTTGCCACGACAGCTTAGCGGATAGTTAATGTGCACATGCTTTGTCAAAAATGGAGAAGACGGAGACTCGTGCAGTCATAAAATACCTGACGAAAAAAGGGTTGACCGCATCTCAAACCAAAGCTGACATGGATGAAGTTTTGGGAGAGTCCGCTCCTTCGTAAACCACTGTGAAAAAATGGACAGCCCTTTTTAAATCTGGCAGAGAGAGAGTGAAACATGACCCTTGCAGCGGACGGCCGTCAACTGCTGTCACTGAAAAAAATATCGACAAAGTTTACGATTTGGTGTTAGCAGATCGCCGTTTGAAAACGCGTGAGATAGCTGAGACAACAGGCATCTCTGTCGACCGAGTGCACCACATCTAACCGAAAATTTGGGTATGACGAAGGTCTCAGCAAGTTGGGTGCCGCATCTGCTGACCGCTGAGCAAAGACGTGTTCGCACTTTGATGTCAAAGAAGTGTTTGGACTTCTACAAGAAAAACCCACGGGATTTCTTGCGTCGGTTTGTGACTACTGACGAAACGTGGATCCATTACTACACTCCTGAAACAAAAGAACAGTCGAAGCAATGGAAACACCCCAGTTCGCCACCACCAAAGAAGGCAAAAACAGTTCCATCAGCGGGGAAAGTGATGGCCTCGGTTTTTTGGGGATGCTAAAGGAATCATCTTTATTGACTACCTAGAAAGAGGAAAGACCATCAATGCTGTCTATTACTGTATACTTTTGGAAAAACTGAAGAAAGAAATCGAAGAGGCCACACTTGAAGAAGAAGGTTCTGTTTCACCACGATAATGCCAGAATCACTGAACAAAAAATAAACGAACTTAGCTTCCAATTAGTTCCACATTCACCGTACTCACCTGATTTGGCCCCCAGTGACTTCCACCTTTTTCCAAATTTAAAATAATTCTTGGTTGGAAAGAGATTCCACTCAAATGACAAAGTCATCTCTGAAGTAAACGAATATTTTGCACACCTTGACAAAATTGACCTATTGTAATGGCATAAAAAAGCTAGAACATCGCTGAAATAAGTGCATTGCTAACAAAGGAGACTACAATGAAAAATAAAAAAGTTTTAGCATTATTTTGTTTGTTGTTCTATTTGAGACCACAAACTTTCCGAACAGCCCTCGTATTATCCAAAGACATTATAATGTATATTAAATTAAAACATTGGAAAACTGCCCAAGTTTTTGCCCAATACAATTTCTCAATGTGTGCACCTCATCACACAGCATACCAACCCATACTGAAATTCTTTCTACACTCATTACAGCACATCTGTTGTCACTTCTCCCACAATAACAATTTTACAGCTCCTGCAAATCCACAGCTGTTTTATGCAGCTCCTGCAGATTACTCATATTGTGCAATGATGAGTGATTCCGACTTTGCAAACTTCAGAATATGAAATGCTTTCTACTGTATATTGCAGAGTCATTTTCATTTATTGTGTTTCTTATAAGTAGTAGACAACAAGATGTTTGAATACAGATGGTTGATGATACTCAGACATTTACTCTATTGATTGGTGTACATTGCCTGCTTCTCACAATCAGATAATAATTAACATAATTACAATAATTTAAAATAAATGACACTGTGTATCTTTTTAACTCTTAATGTAGTCTTATCATACTTGTGACAGCTCCTTAATTGGACCAAAATATTGTAGTCTTGACAAATCCCAATTAATCAGAATCTTTTGTATTAACTTATCATAAAATTTAGTAGAATTGTCATTTAAAAAGAATTACTGTTATAGCTTACATGTTATTTACAATAAGATTTCTTTGATATGGTAAAATTATGTGTTATTACAGATCAGGGAAGAATTCTACTTGCATATCAAAAAATGTCAGCATTTTACACCACATACTGTAACATCATTATCAACTCTAACGAATCAATGGAGAATGCATTCTCTTACAAATTTTGAATATCTTATGCAACTGAACAAACTTGCAGGAAGGTCTTGTAATGATTTAATGCAATATCCCGTGTTTCCTTTTATCATAGCTAATTATTCTAGTTCCGACCTCAATCTCGAAGATCCAAGTATCTTCAGGTAATTATTATTAAATTTAACACTTGCATCAAAATGGATTTAATTAGTTTTGTTTTTTTTTTTTTAATTAGAAATTTATCTAGACCTGTCGCAATTCAAAATAAGGCCAGAGAACAACACTATATAAATGCGTATAATGTAAGTATGCATAAATATACATATGTAAATTGTTTATTTACTATTTCATATTAAATTTATGATGAATAGCTTATTATTAGTTTTTTATAAATACACATAGCGTATGAGATTAATACATTTTAGACATTTTTATACTTAATATGCCATTCTTAAACAAGTTTAATGTATTGAATTTATAATATTTTTAGAAATATATATGTATCTTTTATACTCCAGTTAAATAAATATATAAATGTTAAATATTATTTTTTTATTTTGATCAGTATAAATACATTTTTAGTATGGTTTTGTTTTATGAAAGCTGTGTCAACAGGTACTATGCAAAATGAAATTCTATTTAAATTTGTATTCTAGAACTATTTGAGGTAGATGCTTATGCAACTTTTTACAATTAAAAGGAAAACGTTTAGTGTTTAAAACAGATATAATGAATAGCATTATAGTAAAATCAAAACATTTTTGTCTGATATTTCTGAATATAAAGAGCAAAATTTTATTATACTATATTGAGTACACTACTAGAGAAAAATACATGCAAACTAGGTTATTCCCACAGCATTGGGTTTGGAATGATTGAAGTTGGTGAAGCACAACTTGCTGATTGAGTTGAACTAGTAGTGGGTTAAACTAACCATTTAACATCTGTGAAAACAATGACTCTTCATATATCAATGCCACATAAAACAAGATCTACCATATAAAAATATGTTTTACAAAATTTGATGCTGGATTTCATTTATTATAATTTCAGTATTTGAAAGCTGAATGTGAGACCATGTCAAATATTGACTCCAGTCTTCCCATTTCTGGTCCATACCATTATGGTTCTCATTACAGTAATAGTGGTACAGTGCTTCACTTTTTAGTTCGTTTACCTCCATTTACCGAAGTGTTTCTTGCCTATCAAGGTAAAGTTTATATAAAATTTAATTGCAAGCTTATTATTTCCAATAGATTATTTAAATACTTAAATATCTTAAAGTTCCAATTGGTGGAGATATAAGTTAGAAGACTTATCAAACTGTATTGGAGCATCAAACATAATCAAGATCATATTTTTTTTTAGAATCAATTTTGTGAGAATCTGAAGTTAAGGGATTTATTTTAGCTGACTTGTTAAAATAATATTTAAAAATTATTTTGATAGAAAAATTATCTAAGTAAAAAGGGGAGCTTTCTTTTAGTCACAGAGAGAAAACAGTTTAATTCTTCTGAAAGTGATAGTTTGAGTGAGATGTCTCACTCTTCTATCTGCAAAACCACCTGATTTCCATCACCTGTTGGAAGTATGGTGTGATTTTCCAATAATTCTATTGGAGGAAATACAGCATAAAAGGTGAGAGGTCACCTTCCAGCTTGCTCTTATGTTGGTGCTCTTGTTGCTGTGTTCTTCTCTGACACCTTGCTTTAGCCAACACTCTCATTCCTCTCCCGGTTCAGTACCTTTATTCATCCCAAGGACTCTCCATAACAGGTAATATAATTATCTTACGTAAACTCTCTCTTGTTAGGATAGATTTAATGCATTAGGATTAAAGATCATCCTTTGTATAATTGTTGAACTCAATCATGTTATTCTTGTATAGTCTAAGACAGTCCTTTTATGTATAATCTCGTATAATATAGTTGTATTCTGATATGTTTGATTTATTCTAACTCTATCATCAGCCCACATAATTCACAAATTTTCTGTAGCCTACTTAACTTGCATATTAATTTAGACCCTCCTTAAATCTCGGTAACACAAGCTTGCTTTTGCATTTTAATCTGCAAACCAGATTAAGTGGTGTCAGGAATCTTGATGATAATTGGAGAATTGAGAGGTATTTGTATACTTATCACCTTTCAATGATATTTTAACAGCCATTCTCAGTGAGACAGAAGGTATACCAGAGCCAACCCCAATTTCACAATTTTATTAGTGGAATGCATTTCAGTTACACACAGACCCTCTTCATCCGTATTTATTTTAACATGTTTACAAAATTTTTTTATGGGTGCACATTGTGAATTGTCCATAATACTATTTCCCTCCATTCATAATTAACATGATACACCACTCCATACCCTAAAATTACAATTATTCTTCTATGGGGTCTACAAATTTTAATGTACCGACTGACAATTAGCATGTTATTTTGTTACAGTGTATTATATTAATTAATTTAATTAATTATGGATGGAGGGAAATAGTCTTATGGACAATTTACAGTGTGCACCTATGAAAAAATATTATAATAGTGTTAAAATAATGCAAATATGTATATTGTGACTGAAGAGAGTTTGTGTATGACTGAAAAGCATTCCACTAATAAAGTTGATTTCAAAAAATGTGATCTGTGATCTTGATTATGTTTGGTGCTCCAATAGTTTGATAAGTTTCCTATATTTCCATCAATTAGAAGTTTGATATAATTAAATATTTTATATCAAAGTATTTAAACTTCACAATTGTTAAAACATTAAAATACACAAATACAATATATTCATTGTTAATTACGTAATTAATTAAATTTATAGATGATAATTTTGATATTCCTGATCGAACATTCCATTCTCTGGATTCATCTTGGAGACTTTCAAGCGGAGATTCAACTAGCGATGTCAAAGAACTAATTCCTGAATTCTATTTTTTGCCTGAATTTCTACTTAATAGTGAAGGTATTTTAATTATATTTAAAGCAGAAATCTGTATATAATAATTTATCCTGGAAAACGATTTATTAGGATTTGATTTTGGAATTCGTCAAACTGGCGAGAGAGTTCATCATGTTGCACTACCTCCCTGGTGTCACGATGATCCCAGATTGTTTATTCTTATTCATAGACAAGCTTTGGAATCAGATTTTGTTACAGGACAATTACAAAATTGGATTGATCTAATATTTGGTTATAAACAAACTGGTAAAGCAGCAGTAGAAGCTATTAATGTATTTCATCCAGTGGTAAATATTTTAAAATATTTTTTTGAATAATCTTTGTTTTTAGAAAAATTTTAGAATTTCTTAATTCTTCTAAAATTTTATCAAATAATTTATTCTGAAAAATAATTTTTATTAAATGTTATTTCAGTATTAATAATAAAATTCTGCTATTCTCTGAATATATCTTGTAATGAAAGTATTGTTTTAGCTTTAAAAAATAATAATAAAAAAAATATTTTTATAAAAAAAATTTTCTGGTTTTTGTATAGCCTAAGCTTTTTCTTATTGCTACCACCATTATTGAGATTGGCTCACCAGTGGCCAAGCAGTTTCATTCTCTAAACACTGGGAGTTCGGTCGCAGGTTTGCACCTCACTAGGACGGGTTGGCCATGTGGAGTTCCCTGGTTTTCGCCACATCTGTAACCCCTAAATAGGAGCCAGTTACCCTTAGAAAGTCCCCGGAAGGCATCTCCCTAGGCAGATCGCCTAAGTATTGCATTGCCATAACTTAATAAAACAAACAAACCAACCATTATTGAGGCACTTATTATGGACAGGTACAAGTTTTTGTATAATATCTTCTTTCAACATGGTCACATATGATATTATTGATGTTATTCACTTTTGTATTGCATCTTTCATATCATTGTCAAAATGCTGTAATCTCAAATTTCTTTGGGTGTAATGGAAATTAGAAGACGTGACGCCAAGTGTGTACATTCTACTGCTTCATAGTAATGCTAGATCACACACTGCTGCTCAAACTCAAAACCTGATTGCCTCATTTGCTGCAAGCAACCCATTTGCGTATAATCCTGACCTTTACTAAATGATATTTACCTCTTAATACACTTGATGATGATATTCAAGATACAATGTAGAAGTTGTTAAACATTACAGGCAGCCACATTCTATGAAGAAGATACTCAAAAACTTGTGTTCTGCTATCCATTATTGAGGCACTTATGTGGAAAAGTAGTTTAACTTGTTAAAAATAGAGAAATTTGTTTTTTTAATTGAATGATACTTACCTTCTGAATGTCCCATGCTTCTTTACTGTAACAATGATCCATGATATTTGACATTGTCATAGGCATTTGGAATCAAGCTGTATATTGTATTGAGCTATCACTAACTTTAAACATATACTCTACCTCTCAGAAGTAACAAAAAATCATATCTATATCCTATCAATATAATATAGTCCTGAAACAACTTCCTGACATAGCCCTTTCTAGTTACAGCATATTCCTACAGTATCAATAACTGGCAAAATAAACAGCATGCAAATTGATAATGTTGAAGTACTCTAAAGTGAAAATATTCAAAATGATCTTTATTTAAAATCACAATCATTGAAATCCCTTCATTGACTGCTTCAAATACTTGAAAGTTTCTGTTAGTATCACTGCATTAGCAATATATTATAGAAGCTTAGCAACATTATTATTCCAAATGGCCCCACAAATAAAAACCACGGGATTTCAGCCAAATGACAAGTTTTATGGATTAGAATGTGTTGTTTTGATAAGAGTTGTTTTCAGGCCAAGTATATGTGACTTTTTATAATGACGAATATTTTTAAAAATGCATAAAACTAAAATAATATTGAAATTTGCCCCTGAATTTACATTTATTCTGGCAAAACAAATGCTTTAAAATACCTAATTACATGTAATCAATCCACTAGAAAAACTGCATATAAAAATGAAATTTATTTTACTGTGTAATACTTAAAAAATTTATAATGTGTCATTTTTGTACATAAACATGGATTTAATGTTTTTATACACTCATATGAAAGATGTATTTCAAATAAAATCAATTCTAATCATTCAGAAATCTAGATATAACTCTTTTAATAAATAGTCAATGGGGATTTATTTGGTGTTTTTTGTCAGCATATGAGATATAAAGTTTACAATTAATTCAACAATTAACCAATTACAAATTGCTTTTAATATTTAAGAAACTGATCGGAGCTTAACTGATTAATATTTTTGAGGTTCTTTAGATGTCATTTTCAATCATTTTTTCTGAATAAGAATTCAAAAAGATCCATATTCTTGAGAACCTCACTCAAACTCTCAATTTTAAAATTTAAATTGAAAAATTTTATTTCAGTTTTAGTAGTATAAATATACAAAACATTAAAAAAATATACAAATATAAACATCTATTTACTCGATTTTTAGATTAATGACAAATTATTAGAAAGTTCTGGAAGAAGAGAATTGTCACAAAGCAGGACTTAACCCAACTCTCATTTACCATGCAGATGCATTGCCAGTTATGTTACTCAGACCTTCATTCAATTTAACCTTTAGAACTATTAATAATTTATCAATACATATAACCATACTGGTTACTCATGAACTTTTTAAATTAATTATTAAATAATTTATAAATATAAACATCTTAACAACACCCGATACATTGCAATAACACACCTTCAATTACCTTCAATAGCCTGATGATGTATGGCAGTTGAAGGTGTATTATTGTAAATATTAATTTAATTATAATTATTAAATTTGTCAAGAGATAGCACTTAATACCTAATTCTAGGACAAATTACTTGATATTTAATTATTAAATAGTAGCCTTACTAAAGCCTGATATAATCCAACAGTTGTTTGGCATTAACATAAAAACTATTGGTATAAAATATTTAAATGATTTATATGAATATAAATCATTTAAATTTAGTTTTCTGCATTACATTTTAGTGAAATTCAATCCTATGTGATGCATGTGAATAATATGTTTAAGTTTTAATTTTATTGCATTAAAATAAAGTTAGGAATCTCATAATTTTTAGTCTTTGTAAAAGACAATTTATGATCATATAATAATTTTAGTAAACTGTTATTAGTAATAACAACAAAGTAGAGGATACAAAAAACATCCATAATAATTTTATTTTTAAAGACATATTATGGACACGACATAACAAAAATAACAGACCCGGTCAAAAGATGTGGCCTTCAGACGATGATCAAAACTGTTGGACAGACTCCAAGACAACTGTTTTTTGCTCCTCATCCAATGGTCGAATTATCGATAAGTTTGGGAAATGAACAGCCATCATTACAAGTAATGGTTCTAGTTTAATTCAATTTAAAGTATTTATAGGTTAAGATTAAACAGTTATATTTTTATTTCTTAGACTGTTCTACCTAATATACAAAATTTAAAGTGGGGAAGTTACGTTGGCTCTCCCAGCTCATTAGAGCCTCTGTTAGTTTGGAGATGTAATTGCTCCAGTCCAATATGTAAATTGGTACCATTAATGACAAATGATGTTTTTGGTCTTACCACGAGATCATGCCTGTTACTGAATCATAGAAAAAGCAAAGGTATTTTATTTATTTTTATAGTTTTTCTATCCATTTTGCTAAGTTTATCTGTGAATATTTTTACAGCAGCAGGACTGACAAGTAATACATATGTGATGTCAACTGCACTAGTCTCTTGGGGATATGGAGATGGCATTATAAGAATGACTCTTCAGAAAGACAGACCAACAATTCCTCTTTTTACAGAATTTAATGATCCTGTAAGTTCAAATTTTAAAGATAAATATAGTGGAAACCTCTGACACGATTGAGTCTGGCTGTTAATCATCTGTCTTGATTAACTGACCAATACATTCCACATATGGACATGACATGAAAAAATTTGTCATGTCCATATATAATAATAAAATAAATAATAACAAAAATAATAATAAAATAAATAATTTATTATATAAAAAATTTCAAATAAATGAAATGACCTTTTGAAATGGATAATTGACTCCAAGAGTATTTGTTTGTGTCTCAGTTAAATAATCTTGGAGATTAGCTAACTTAAAACTTTTGAAAATTTTTTCTAAACAATGTATGACATATACAGTGCAATTGTAAAATCCCACCAAGTGGGGCACATCCATGTGGCTTGGCTGAGTGCTGACATCAAAACTTACTTGAACTCTTTTGACTTGCAATCTGCCTGTGATATCATTACTTTATTCCTGGAAGCTTTTTCTGTTTCCATTAGTGATGTAACGAATATTCGGTTACTATTCGGCCGAATACCGAATACCTAAAATCAAGAGTAAGAAATAACAAAAAACACAATAAATTAATAATTTTGGTATTTAGATTTAATGCTATCAGGTTAGTGTTGTTTGTTTATATTTATTTATAACTTATAACATGCGCAAAATAAAAAAGAAAATAATATTAGTCACATGTATTCACAATTTATAATTACAAAGATCAGCACACGTACACACCTATTTGTTCGAGAATCGTTGCACATCTGAGGGTGTTATCCTGCCTGTCCTTCTTTTTAAGCACTCGTTTTTGCTCTTCTCTTTCTCTTTCCTCTATCACTCTAGTTTATGTATGCCTATGCATACAACATAATACGTACTCACAATACTTTTGATTCGTCACTTTTCCGTCGTAGATTTCCCATTTTACAATTACGTGACTCATAGCCTGGTGATAATGGAGAAAAGAGACACACAGTACGTCGGAATAAGTCACAGTTATGATTTCACAAATTCAAGACAGCTTGGTAGCCCGAATGGCCCCAGGCTTTCGCCTGTGCATGCTAAGTGACTTTCATTACAAGCATTTAGCTTTCCCTATGACAACAATTGCTTGGCATTGATAGCTGCGAATGTCGCACAATAAGCTGCCTCCACTTGTTCGATTATGTTATTAACTCAATTTCGTATTTCACTTCGCGGTCCTTCTCTGTTTTTTTCCCGTTATTTACACATGTAGGTCATTTCATTGTTATCCACATTTGATATCATCATTTATCACATACAGTAATACCCTGACTTACGCGAACCCAGAGTTACGCGATTTTCAAATCTCGTTGATTCGTCTTTTGTTTGAGGGCCACGCAACTCTTGATTACTTACTTCCCCCACACTATTGTTCAGTTTACATGTTCGGATGTGTCGTGCGGAATTGACACATGGCTACAATTTATTTTGTGTTATTTATTTCTGTTTGTTATATCTAAGGAGACTCGAGAGACTCTACTATGTCATCCAAACGAAGTAGAACTAATTCGTCTGCATCAAACAAGAAAAGAAAAACTTTATCTTTGGAATGTAAAGTTAACATTGGGTATGTTCGTAAAGTCGAACGAGTTAAACGAGAATGACGTCATCGTTATTCCTATTTCGTTAGACTTTTCGAACGATTCGTTACTAACGCGTTTAACTCGTTTGACTTTACGAACGTACCCATTATTAAAGACTTCGATACAAAAATGAAAATTTGTGAATTGGCAAAGAAGTTTGATCTACCGGAATTGTCGGTCAGAACAATTATAAAAGGCAAAGAAAAAATTCTCGAAGCTGTGAAAAATGCTCAATCTTTAAATTCAAGCATCATTCGTAAACGTCACAGTATTATCGCTGAGATGGAAACAATGTTAAAATTATGGCGTAATAATCAAGTAAATGTGAAAAATTGTAAAATAATATAGGCCTAATTTGTTATACATATGTATTATCTAAGATTTTATTAAACATTTTTTTCTAAATTATTGTTTTCTTTAGTCTCCGGCCCCAATTAAAAATTATTTGTATGTATTTATATGTGAAATTATACCCCGACTTACGCAAATTCGACTTATGCGGTTACCACTCGGTCCCACCTATCGCATAAGTTTGGGGTATTACTGTACTGCCATGACACTCTTGTCTGTCTGCTACAACTGTCAAGAATTAACGCGATTGGCGAAGCATAGTGACAGCGGGCCAATAGAGAGCAGGGTCCTCGCCATAATGCGGTTTGCGTGCCAATTTTCATACAATTTCATACATGCGTTTATCAAGCCGAATATTCGGCCACGTTCCTGGACGAGTATTCGGCCTGAGGCTGAATATACTATTCGTTGCAAAACTAGTTTCCATGCCTTCTGCAGAGGGACTTTATGATTACACTATTATAATTTCTATTTTAATTACAATATTTAACTTACTAAAATCAATTAATTTAATATANTATATTTTTTTTTTTTTTTCTCTTAAGTTGAAAGTGGAAAGGTCAACATTTGTTCAGCTATACGGACATTCAGGAAAGATTATGGCTATCTGCATATGCAAAAGTTACAGCATTGTAGTCACCAGTAGTATGGATTGTACAATGATTATTTGGGATTTGAATAGGTAAATGTTTAAAGGTAAAATTGTAAAAGTATCAGATTTTTTAATGTGATGGTGATGATAAATCCATTTGTTTTAGATTACAGTACGTACAAAGTATTTTTGATCATAAAAATCCTGTCAAACTCTTAACAATAAGTGACACTTTAGGTGATATAGCATCAGTTAGTAATAGTGGTAAGTTAAAATTTATCTCTTTACATAAAAATATTTAATCAAACATTACTCAGTATATTTTTGATATTTTAACAGACTTGGGAAGTTATTTAAAAGTGCATACAATAAATGCAAAACTTGTCGGGACTGTATATACTCCTATCCCCATTACTGCAATCTGTTACTCAAACGCAAAAGAAGGAATTTCTGTGAATGTGATTGTAACAGGATTTCTTGACGGTACCATAAAGTAAGTACCTAATTTATGATTATATTTATTATTTTTTCAGTTTAATTGAATATCTTGCCTATATATCTATTATTTTTAATAATTTTTGTAATAGTAATAGTTAAAATTCTTGCTCCATGTGATCTTTGAGTATATTCTTTATAATCTTTTCCAAGACAACTTAGTTAATATACATTTGCAATTAGTTTAAGAAAAGAATGTTACCTACCTTACTCTCCTGTTTAAAATTTTCTATTGATTTTACATTGTAATGTAGACACGATGGGGTCTAAATTTTCATGTAAAATTAATAGAATCTGTTGATTGAATAGTCTGTGGGACCATTAATTCTAGTGGTTTTACATGGAATTTAGACCCAACAGGTCTTCTTTGGTCTAAGCTTCTGTGTAAAATCAGTATGTGTGTTGAGTCTGAGTTTAACCTAGAATTTGCCATTTAATTCATTACTGTTTTTAATATTGAAATATATATAATACACATCTCGAAGCCTAATGAGTTAATATAATAATTCAACAATTACCTAAATATTCGGGCAGGCTGTGGGTTCAAGCCCCACCCCGGGTCAGTCATTTTCTTCCAGAAGATTATAAATTATTTATTAAATTATTAAAATTATAATTATTAGTTTAGATAAGAGATGGCACCTAATGCTTAACTCTAGTACCAAATTTATTTGGATAAATTATTTGTTTATAGCCATATTATAGCCTGAATATTTAGGCAATTGTTGGATTATAATATTGAAATAGATTGTCTTTTTAAGTTATTTTTAATTTGAAATATGTTAATGTTTTTATGAGTATAGTATGCATTTAAAGACAAGTGAGTGTATGAGAACTTTGATGTAGAATTCACTGACAATAATTGGATATATGTAATCAAATACTAAAAATCAAACATCCAGCAGGAAATACTAAAAACTTGCATTGTTACAAACAGTCATTGTGAGGCTGAAAACCTTCAAATATCTAAAATAGCATTATAAAATGAATGGTTTGAAAATTTGAACTACTTTGAATCAGTGGTTATCATCTACTTGATAAACTGGATAAACTAAACCTATGACATTCAGTTTTATAATTCTCTTTTATGTCATTTAGTTTATCATGTGGAGGCAAAGAAGTTACAATTTTCAAACCATTCATTCTATAACACTGTTCGATTTTCANAAATTCTCCCTTTTAGTTCTATTTCGATTTTATTCCAATGCTGGTTTGCCGTTGCTGTAATTTGAATTTGAAGGATATTAACTGTTCTTTTAACCTGAAGAAGACGAAAATAGTTTCGTTGAAAGCGCTTGTTGTTTGTAGCGATAGATGTTGGTTATTAACGCCTAGATGATAATTTTCTTCACCAACAACTACTGACTTATATCGAGCTATTATATTGTGATTATTTTAAATTAATTATTAAATAATTTTTCACTAGAGGGTGGTGTTAGGCACCTTCTCTTATTAGATTTAATAATGACAATTAAATTAAATAATTTAGAAAATTCTGGAAGAAAAGAATTGGCCCAGAGTTGAATTCGAACTCACAACTTCCAATCAAGAGATGGCACCTAATGCTTAACTCTAGTACCAAATTTATTTGGATAAATTATTTGTTTATAGCCATATTATAGCCTGAATATTTAGGCAATTGTTGGATTATAATATTGAAATAGATTGTCTTTTTAAGTTATTTTTAATTTGAAATATGTTAATGTTTTTATGAGTATAGTATGCATTTAAAGACAAGTGAGTGTATGAGAACTTTGATGTAGAATTCACTGACAATAATTGGATATATGTAATCAAATACTAAAAATCAAACATCCAGCAGGAAATACTAAAAACTTGCATTGTTACAAACAGTCATTGTGAGGCTGAAAACCTTCAAATATCTAAAATAGCATTATAAAATGAATGGTTTGAAAATTTGAACTACTTTGAATCAGTGGTTATCATCTACTTGATAAACTGGATAAACTAAACCTATGACATTCAGTTTTATAATTCTCTTTTATGTCATTTAGTTTATCATGTGGAGGCAAAGAAGTTACAATTTTCGAACCATTCATTCTATAACACTGTTCGATTTTCAATGTTTTCAGCCCTACGATGACCATTTAACACAGAAGAAAATGCTATGATTATATCAAGCCTTCATTGTATTTTTTAGATTATGGAACTCCTGGAATTTAAATTTGGCATCAGTAATTACAACAGGAAACTTGCAATATCCAATCATAAGGTAAGTTGTTTTAATTTTATTCAATTTAAATGTATTGATAGATCATTAGAATTTTTTGTTATAGTTTAACATATTCAGAAGATAATCAGCATTTGTATGCTGCTAACAAACAAGGAATTGTGACAATGTGGAAAAATCCTATAAAAGGGATTAAGGAGAGTCGCTTTCTTACTCTGAAATAAATTCATTTTAAAATGGAAATGACTTAATATATTATTATTATAATCATAAAATGATTTTATATGTAAAAAAAATTATCTACTTCTTAACTGAATGTGAGAATTTAATCTCATTTTTAATATTTTTGTGTGCATTAAAAAAAGGGCTTATATTTTTAAATCGAGTTGTATATTTTTAATTTTTGAAATTTATTATTGTCAATTTAACTGCTTTACAGTTCTGAGAATTGTCCATTTATGTTTTTATATTGAAATATTTGCTGAAATTATTTTATATTTATAAATATTTTTGTAATAAAGAATTATAAATATTAGAAGTTGAAAGTAATAATCATACTGTACATAAGCATTAAATTATCTTAATAGAGTACAAATTTAGAGACATAAACGGCGTTTTAAAATTTGATCCATGTTTAGAGATATATGGAAGGAAAATTCTCTATACTATATTAAGTCTATGGGTCATACATATATCACGTTACAATCTGTATAACCTAAGATATAACATGATAAATTACCTAGATTTGAACGTGTGAGCCAGAGAAGTCACTCTACTCGCCCTTAGACTTAACATTGTGAACTTTTGTTTCGTATATCTCCTGTCATGTGTCAAATTTTAAAGTGGTGTTTACGTCATGACCTAGACCGAAATGGATTCTGTTTGTATGCAAAAACTGATTTATCTCGGTTAAGTGGTTTCGGAGGAGTTAACTGTCACACAAACGTCAGTCGTCACAGAGATCTGCCTGGCTCCACTCTACTAGCCTGTTATTTAAAAGATTTCATACTTTATAGATTATGAAAATGTTTTTATCATTTTAAAGTTAAAAGAAACTAGCAACAAATTGCGTAATTTTTCCGGCCGTTGTGAGATTTTATTTAAAAAAAATAACTTTTGTATTATTAATTAATTATAATACAGTATATAAATAAAATTGTGTGGGGTGTCATCGGTTATGAGATTTTGTTATAAACAACTTTATATTATTTATTATAAAATGGTAAAAGAATTTTGAGGGTGTAGATGAGTTTTATAAATATATATATTAAATGCTAGCAACAAGTAAAATATTACTCCCTCGGAATCGGATAATGATTTACCCGTTGATATCTGCAAATACTATTCGAATCCTTCGTAAATCTTCGAAATACCATCTCAATTTTGTGGTCGAACAATATAAATTCTCTCCCTACAGAATACATCACGATATGTGGGGCCCCTTCCCTCACCACCCGGCACAGCCATTGTTTTTGTTTGTTTGTTTAGTTATGGCAACGCATGATACTTTTCTAATAATAAAAATGTAAAATTATCCCACAAATTTTCTAATATTAAAATATTAGAAAATAATAACGGTTTCAAACAGAAAAGCACTTAGTTCATAAAAATTAATTGATTTAACACCATTTCAATTTATCCAAATTAGATATTAAACGTCGTAAAATTTCAACGATTTTGATTAATTTTTCCGCACAATTAACTTATAAAACGCATCCAATATTTTAAATGGCGAATTAATCGTCTTCCAGATTCAGATATTTTTGTAGTAAATTCGGGAGTGGAAGCTCAAAAATCCCTAGAGGAAGTTTCCACATTTTCCTCAAATGTCTTCTGATAACGCATCGACAAAGATGGCGAAGTTCTGACGGTTGCAAATACCTTCGCCTCAAATTCCATATAATTCCTCGTTCACTCAAATCGTCGACGAAAGAACGGATTTCCGTCATATCCGGTAACTTCATATCTCTTCGTTGTAGCTGAGGAATAATTCGAAGTAGCAGTTTAACAATCAGTATCGAACTCTGAAGTTGTAGATCGTTCCTGATGTATTCTGTAGGGAGAGAATTTATATTGTTCGACCACAAAATTGAGATGGTATTTCGAAAATAATGCGAAGGATTCCAATAGTATTTGCAGATATCAACGGGTAAATCATTATCCGATTCCAGTATGGATCCGTGTTGAAGTAACAGTTGAAGTAATGTCGGCTTACTTTTCAACACGGCCGAAATCCACGGTGGAAGCCAAGGACGACGTTGGTAGATCCGGGAATCTGACGCCGTTAATGGTCATTTTACAATTGTTCGCGTGACGAAGGAAATAGATTATCCTGGCGTATTCATTAGGCTCTACGTTGCAGCGCGCTATCGGAATTGGCCAATCGTCAGTTTGAGGTTCTCCATTGGTAATGACGTGATTGTAGACGATTGGAAAGTGCGATTCGAGGCGGAAATTCCATAAAGGACTTGGCACACCAAGTTACTATTGGATAACCACCAATAATAGCACAACTTAGCGGCGTGATGCAACATACGGCGTTCTAATACTTCGCTGCAATGCTTTCCGTGTTTGAGTTTCTTCCAGCGATCGTGTAAATTTAATATGGTTACGTGATGTTGGCCGTCGTCTTGCTCGAAACTCAACACGGAGATGATTTCTTGATGTATAAAATGATCACGACGAAAGAAAATTTTGGAGACGAGCGATTTCTTACAACGTTTACAATTGTGTTGACCCATTGCGCCGATTTATAAAACAATTATTTCGTCGTTGATAACAATAAGGGTTTCAACAAATTTTTAATCATTGTTAAAGCATTCCTAAGTGAAATTAAATATTGAATATAAATAATAAAGGATGCCGTATTAATGTTTAGAAGTTAAGAGCATGATTCAAAATTTAAACTTCAAGAATACAAATTTGTAAAATTTGTGGTGTGAGGCGAAGATAGAAGCTGGATCGTACGGGACAAAGTTATTGTACGATTTTAGTTGTAATAATTAAAATAGAAAACGGAGGATCTTTGTAAGGATATTTATTTCAATTGAGGTTTGAAACAAACATGTTCTAAGTCGTTTAAGTGGAGAGCCAGCATTAAGTTTTGTATATTAAAGTACAGTAGAAAACTTAATGCTGGCTCTCCACTTAGCGCGATTTTGAGGCGATTCAATGGTCTTTGTCACTGCCCATTAGCAGGAAAATCGCCTTCCAGTTAGAATCGCTTTCAAGTACTTTCGCGACAAAGTGCCAGGGTCCTGTTCAATAACGCAGAATTCTTGCTAAGTGTATTTACGCTGCGATTTTGAACTCGTATCTAACTGCTTCTTGACTTCTCCCACCACTAGAATTCTAGCTAGTTCAGTCACCTTTTATATATCCTAACTTCTAATCTACTAGTGACGTCATTGTTTTTGTCTCTTCGCACGATTTGCAAGATGGCTGCTCGTGTTGGACTAAACGTATGTTGTTATAGCAATCACAAAGTTATTCTCTCATTCTAAAATGCAGTGGCGTGCTGTCATTGGAAGCGGTGGATGCGCCGCTTCCCTTGTATTTTCTAAAAAATAAATACATATTANTTGTCACTGCCCATTAGCAGGAAAATCGCCTTCCAGTTAGAATCGCTTTCAAGTACTTTCGCGACAAAGTGCCAGGGTCCTGTTCAATAACGCAGAATTCTTGCTAAGTGTATTTACGCTGCGATTTTGAACTCGTATCTAACTGCTTCTTGACTTCTCCTACCACTAGAATTCTAGCTAGTTCAGTCACCTTTTATATATCCTAACTTCTAATCTACTAGTGACGTCATTGTTTTTGTCTCTTCGTACGATTTGCAAGATGGCTGCTCGTGTTGGACTAAACGTATGTTGTTATAGCAATCACAAAGTTATTCTCTCATTCTAAATTATTAAGTCATTCTAAAATGCAGTGGCGTGCCGTCATTGGAAGCGGTGGATGCGCCGCTTCCCTTGTATTTTCTAAAAAATAAATACATATTAATTTTAATTATATGAAAATAATCGCACAATATTTTATTATAACCGCATTATGTATCTTATTACAAATTTCTATACTACACGTGAAAAAAAAAATGCTATTGTATATTAGAATATTAGTGGCGGAGTGGAAGCGCTGTATCGTCAGCATCCAAAAAGCCAGATTCGCACATGCGCTTTACGGAGCACCGACCTCACCCGGTTTAGCCGGAGGAAGCCTAGTTAGTACCTTGGGTGAATGTTGGGTGAATACACGTATACCGCATCCAATTCTATCCAGGACAAGTTCTGGGCTGTTAGCTGCCTTCCCGCTAGATATTTGGCCACCCTCGCCCCGAAATCTACTCGAATCGCGAGTAGATTTATAACTTAACCCAACCGATAAGAATTTACTGGTTCTTATTATTTAAAGAACGATCCGGTAAAAAATAATATTTACAATGGTAATGTGTATCATCATTAGATGGCGGGATGCCAAATTTTCTTATTGATATAAAGCACTTTACAAAAGCCTAAAGATTCTTTCATAATAGAAAATAAACGAAACACTTTTAACCAGTTTTAAGTCCTTATAAAATAAATACAAACAGCAATTACATATTGTGACGTCGTCACAATGTCGGGCTGATATTTGTAATCGTATTTTAAATTTTAAAAATCACGTGACTTCTGGTTTACATCGGAAGTTCCTATATAGGTCATCGGGTTGTTTAGTCCCCTAAGCTTTTTATGTCTGGTCCCGAATTCACTGGTGTCTTACCCCTGTACATCATACTTTTCCTGATAACATTCGAGCCATCTCGGTCATCTATCTCACTACGTATTCAGAAAATTTTGAATTTATATCACGTGACTTCCGGTTCAGACTGGAAGTTCGTATATAGGCCCTTAAGCTATCCGTATCTGCTCTCGATTTTCATATATCTAACTCAGTTCTCGAGATTAGATAAGGAAGGAAGGACAGACAGTCGAACGAATGTAGAAAGCTATAAGTCTGCAATTTGAAAATTGAGGTCCAATAAATAAACATTTTTTAATTATTTAACTCAACTTGTCATAAGGATTCTCAGATTAAAAATTGTTTAATTTNTAAGTCTGCAATTTGAAAATTGAGGTCCAATAAATAAACATTTTTTAATTATTTAACTCAACTTGTCATAAGGATTCTCAGATTAAAAATTGTTTAATTTACCTTCAAATTATTTTCGATTTTAAAGGTTATTTTAATTATAAAATTATTTTTTTTAAAATTATTTATTTTATTTGTAAAATTAAAAAAATCCTTTAAAATTTACTTGTATAAATGATATTTTATGTACATTAAATAAATTAATTTTATTGAAAAAAAACTAATACAGTACATCATTATCTAATAGGATTAATACTGAAATTTATTGTAGTTATTAATATGAATAAATTAAATTATTTTATATTTTATAACAGAATAAATTATATTTAATATATTAATTTCTTATTTTATATGTATATAATATCTTCCTATCGTATAATATCGAACCTGCAATAACGGCCACCTCTTAACAACGGACACTTTTTCTACGTTTCACAGTGGCGTTATTTAGAGATTTGAATGCTTTAACTTTCAAAATAATGTTTTAATCCTTTCTTAAAATACATAATTAATTATTATTATTTTTCTAATTTATCGTGTTGGATTCTCTCCACACCATCGGAAAAGGAGGAAAATATGAGCTCACGATCTACCAGTTGGGGAGAAAATATCGTTTACGTTTTCATTTGTCTAACAGAAAAAACAATTTTTTTTCTTTTTTTAATTATTTTTACATTTATTTATTAATTTTCAAATTAAAAATCGAAGCAAAATAGCAATAATAATGAACTGCACAAATTTTTTACAGCAGTTAATTGAAAAATAAAGATACAATTTTCAGAACATAATTTAATTAAATCGAGTCAATAAATTTTAATTAATTCAAGAAAATAATATTTAAATATACATTTTCGTAGAAAAACTTACGATAATATTTAAAATAACGAACTTTAAATTCGAAAATTAAAATATGACGTCACGATTAATATAAAACAGACGAACTTTAAATAAAATAAAAAAAAAACAAAAATGTTTCTAAGGCGTGACGTCACGTGTATAAAGAAAGCTAGGTGGCGCTGCGGATTTTTGATCGATAATTGAAAGGATGCTAAGCAAGATGTCGTCTTTCACGTTGATGTTGGTCTTAGCAACGGTATGTGGAATCAGCGGTTTAGAAAACACAACGGAAGAAATTCACAGCTCGAACGACTACCACGTTTCTGAAGAGGAAGATAATTCAGTTAACGGAAGCCAGATAGCGGAAGCAACTGCCAATGATCCAGCTACTCCCATTCCGGCGGTGACATTGACTGCATGCGAATTAACTACCCAACGCCGATTAACCGTCATCAAAAGTAGCGCATTTCCTAATCCTTACAATCCTAATATCGATTGCAAATACGTTATTAAAAGACAATCAGAGAATACTTGCTCAGTTACTTTTTTATTCAACGTCTTCGATCTGCAGAGAAGCGAAAACTGCGATAAAGATTATCTTTCGATTGAAGGAGAGAGAATATGCGGGTCTCAACCCATTGGATTTACACGTAAGTTTATTTAATTTACTCTAATGTCACTCGTGAAAATTGCATTAACGCAATCTCTAACTTTCTTCCCATCTCTCTTCCATTCTTCTCACTCCAAATCATCATCATCATCATCATCATCATCATCCTCTTCCCATTCTTAAGTCACAAAACTGTTTAAGTAGTTCCTCCACTTGGATCAATATTCTCTTCGTTACTAATTTTAGAATTATTCCCGGAAAAATTTCACTTCTAATTGATAAATCATTGTGTTAACTGTACACATATATTCAATAACAACTTTATTGGGCTACAATTTGGGAAAAAATTGTAGTCCAATAAAGTTGCAATTTATTGGCCTATAATTTGAAAAAAATGTAACCCAATTCCCTTAATCTTGAGAACGGTGTTAGATAGATAAAAGTCGAGACCAGATATGGAAAGATAAGGGGCGGGAGGTCCCGATTAACTATGTACAAACTTCCGGTATGGACCGGAAGTTTGTACATAGTCACGTGATTTCAATTCAAAAAAATCCCCCCCCCCGAACGGAGTTACATGTATGACCGGCATGGCTCTGTTGTTATCAGGAAAAGTACGATGTACAGAGGCGAAGACACGAGATCGCGAGCATATATTTTAAAATTAAATTAAACTTTGGAGTCCGGCATTGCGACGCTGTCATAATAATTTTTGCTCGTTTGTAATGAATTTCTTTCAATACCATATATAACAGTTGTATTTACGTCTGAAAGATTCCTCTGCCAAATATTAAACCATAGAATTCACCATCTTCAATGCTTTGAATACAGATAAGTATGCCATTAATGACGTTCAATCAGAATTGATTGTCATCGATACTCATGACATTTCTACACTAAAGTGTCAATGCCATACTCGGGCTTCGAGAAAAAAAGTTATTAGGGGGCCCAAAAATAATAGAAAAAATCATATAATTTTACAAATAAATAATATTCGACAAAGAGTTACAGATAGTGCGCCCCTCCGAGCGGAGGGGCATCGTTTACAGGCCCGAAAAATCGACCTGTAAGCAGGCCCTGACCATACTACAATATTGATGAAGATTGTATGATTTTTTCTATGGAATTAATATAAAAAAATGACATGTTTTTAGATGTAAATGCATCGATAAAAAAATTACAAGGAGCCATAATCCTTAGAGGAAAACACGATGAATAAAAAATAATACATCCGAATGTCTGACAGTCGGTAATATATCTAATCCATAAAAAAATAGAAGAGAGTAGGTATAAATTAGATTAGTACACACGTAAGAAAAAATCATAAATATATGAAAACATTTATTATTTAATCAAACAAGAGTGAAACATTATGTTTAAGAGATGAAGTAAGAAGCTAGGATGATAATCTCTCTGTAATTTCCTACTAAAAATATATAAAATAAAATGATAAATATTTTCTTTTCTAATAAAATACATTATTACAAATAAAGTCCTTTGCCAAAACTTTAAATATAATAATAATAATAATATAACTTCATTTTTCTTCTCCTTAATTATTGGAAATTCTGGACAATTTCCAAAATTAAAGGCAAATTTCTTTTTTTTTTTATTAATTATCTAAGGATATATTTTTTCGGGGGATTATTGTTGTTTATAAGTTTATATAACGGAGAAAAGTTTATACTTTTCTATATTTTTATATGGGATTTTATCATCATAACTTCAACTCGAAAATTCTAGTAGTTGAAGAGAGTTTTTCACGCATCATCCACACTTTCATCTTCTATCAATAAATGAAGCAAACGACAAAAGTTACTTCGCAAACATTTCTTATGCTCTTCAAAAGAAAAGCATTGAAGAAGAATTGCCAAAAAGTAATAGAATTTTTTCACTACCTTCTTTTTTCCCCTCCTATGTTAAAAGTGCACTTTTCTTCCATTCACTCCAACTTTCCAATGGGAAAAATATATATATATATATATATATATATATTTGAATGTTATCCAAACTTTTCTTTAGTATTTTGAAATTCTTATTATTCCATAATTATGCTAAAATATTCGTCTGAAAAAGTGTATAAAGATATAAATAACCCGTTTTTTTTAAATACAGTAAAACCCCTGCGTAAAACGGAATCGTATATTGTTCCGGGTTTGGCAGGTTTCCGTTTTAAACGGGTTTTTTCTAAACATAGAAAGTCGCTCTGTTTCGAAAGATTTCCCTCCGTTTAGGCACGTTTCCGTTTCATTTGGGTTACGTTTAGGACAGGTTTTACTGTATATGATTTGTTTATGTTTAAACGATAACTAAACGAAACTTTTTATTAAAACTCCTAAAAATTAGTACACGGTAAAAACTGTGTAAGCCGGAATCGCACGGTAGCGAATATCTTTCCTATTTTAGAAAGTTTCCGTTTTTAACAGGTTTTTTAACATAGAAACTCGCTCCGTTCCGAAGAATTTTTTTCGTTTTAGACAAGTTTTACTGTATAACTTTTAAAATATTTTGTCGTATTAAATATTAATTCGTACAAAAACTTTTTATTGGATGCTGCTACATTAGTGAGGATAAAGATAGTTCCAGTTTGTTTAATTGGTTAAAATTTAAAGATTTTGACATTATTTCCGGTACAAATTATACGTGTAAGGAGAAAATAGTTGTAATATTATTCAAATTCGTAAAATATCATTCGTTTAAACAGTATTTTGAGGTACGAATTCAGTTAAAGAGCATGTTAAGCCATCATTTTCAATGGTAAAATGTACACGTCATCACGCAAGAACCAGTAAAAACTGTTGTTAGAAGATCAGAATGGGATTCGAAAATTAGATACTCAACAGAATTTAAGCCGATTTTTCTCGTAACTTTAACAGGGGAGGCCATTTTTGATTGACTTATAACAAAACAAAATAAGTTATAATGAGATCGACAAATTCACACAGATGCTGTAACGAGAAAATAATTTGCTGCTGCATCGATTCAAAATCTGAAGAAAGAAAATTGTTCCCAGAAAAATATTCCTTAGTAAATAATAATTTCTCGTGTAAATTTATTTCAAAAAATAATTTATATATTTTATTATTATTATTTAAATTTATTTTTTTAAACTAAACAAGATGTTTCGCTTATTTGTTTAAAAAAAGAAAGTATAGTAAAACCTGCGTAAACCGGGATTTTAACGTAGAAAATCTCTTAGTTTTGACGAATTTTTTCCGTTTTTGACAGGTTTAAAATTCGAGAAAATATAAAAATTTTGGCATTAAAAGTACCATAATATTTATTTATTTTTTCCGGTTTTCATTATATAGTTTATTACTAATTATAACAATTAATGGAACATATGTGTATTTGCATAATACAGCGTTTGCACTAATTACAATTTTAGCGAAACGGTCGTCTTCAACTCTGATACTTGATAGGAATTCGATACTATGTACTGTACACGTACCTTTATTATCGGATAAATAAGAAATATCTTAATATATATTTATATTTTAGCTTATTTTTGAGGTCTTACATACAGTCCTACGTATTAATTTTAACGGAAAAATCAATTCCACTTCCATTTTGTAATCCGATCCGTGGATTAGTTTAAGAAGTTTAACAAATTCTATTTTATTTGATATCTTTTTTTTTATTTTTTCTTTTTGGAAAACTCTTATTTCATTCTCGTTATATACAGAATCGATTTATACAGCATTTCCGAGAAATTTAAGATATATTTTAATTAAACTTTTGTCATAAATCGCGAAGTATACAGTAAAAAAAAAATTTACAATTAGGATATAATTTGTTGGGCTGCAATTTGAAAAAACTGTAGACCTATAAATTTTCACTATCGACTGTCTGTCTGGCCGTCTTTCATTAATCTCTAGAAAGGTGTTAGATAAAAGTCGAGACAATATATGAAATTCTTAGGGGAAGAAGATCCTGATTAATTATATACAAATTTAAATTCGTATATTTTCGAAATTTTTGAATTTAAATCACGTGAATTTATTCCTGTCTAGACCGGAAGTCACGTGATTTCAATTCAAAAAGATTTTCCACAAAACGGAATTACATAGATGACCTGCACGACTCTGTTGTTATCAGGAAAAGTATGATTTACAGGAGCAATATACTAATAATTCGAGATGGAGAGCGTATATTTTATAAATTAAAGAAATTAAAAATAAAATTTAAAAATTTCAGCTTGGCATAAATAATTTTTGCTTGTTATCAGTAAAAGATCACAATTTTCATTAACGAGATGGCGAATTTTGACGTTATTAAGATATATTCATGCCCGGTAATCGTTGATCACGAGTCCATAACATGGTACCATCGTGCAGTTGATCATAAAATGGATGACATTAAAACTCTTTTACTGCCATCCATTTTATAGGGCCATACGTCTAGGGAATTCCACAAGTTCCACAATTTTATATTTTTTAGACGAAGCGTAAATCAATTTCTTTTCCCTCCTCGATGCTTGGAAAATACAATTTCCAATTTAATAAATTGATCTAATTTGGTCCAGTCTAATAAATTATGTTTAAAAGATTGTTAATGCTCGAATTAAATCTTATTTTTTTTTCTCAAATTTTTAAGCAATGCACACAATTTTATATTAAAAATTTCAGAAGTTCAAGTGGGCAATAAATTGTTACTTTTAGTTATCTTTTGTGCAAACCTCTTTGGTATTAACCCTTCAACAGTCAAAATCCCAGAATGGTGTTGAAGGGAATTTGAAAGAATTTATATATTTCAAAATGGAAGGAATCTAGATATTGCTTCTGGCACGATATAGAATTACACGATCTCATAGCCGAGCGTCTTGCTGAACGTTTGGGAAATTGGTTACTTTTACTAGGCGCGAGTTATATAAATAATTAATTTTTTAAAATAAATATTTAATTTAAATATAAATAAATCAATTCTAAACACTATTATCTAAGGTTTACTATTATAATTATTTATATTCACCATTAATATCTGCAATTTTTTTTAAATGTATATTTATAAAAGTCAGAATAGGTTCTTTGGGAATAAGCA